TTAGAAATTAATTTTTTTTGTAGATTTCTTTTGGATCTATTTTTTTGGAACCATTAAAATTCTCTCAATTAGAAATTAATTTTTTTTTGGAGATTTCTTTTGGATCTATTTTTTTGGAACATCAGGGATGCTTGAATTTTTAGAAATAATTTAATTTTAAAAAGGTTTCAAATTAAAATCTTTGGAAATTCGAATTTTTCATACTTTTAACTAAAATTCTGTAGAATTTTTTTGAAAAAGTTTTATTTGGATTTATTTTTTGAAATTATTTCAAGTTTCTATTTTCTAATATATATTTAATTAAAGAATTTCTAAATAATCAAAATTTCGTGAAATTAAATCAAAATATTCTTTAGGTTCAGGGAAAAAGTGAAAATTTTGTCTTAAAATCAGGGGAAAAAATTAAATTTTTGTATCAATCCTGAACATTTTTTGCGCTATTCAACTAAAAGCTTTTTTTCCCAAATTTCAAGAATTCATTTGTTAAAAGCCTCTCTTTCGTCTCTTCTTTTCGCTGATGGTGAATTTGTCAAGATTGAAGAGACTGTTATTATCTAAGCAGCAATTTGCAAGTCGCGTATTGCACTCCCCGAAATAAGAACAAGGGGAGAGAAATAGTATATAAACGAATAGAAGCAAAAAAAGAAAAGAGAATGAAACAGAGAAAGAAGAATCCAAAAAGCTATTCTGATTTGCACATCTCTCAGTTGGCAGAATTCCAAATTGAAAAACACATTTCGCGATGTTTTTCTTTGGCCGCGAATTTTTCGAGGGTTCGCATCTTCCAAGTAGAAAATAGAATGATATAATGGATTGTGGAGAAAATGGGGGTTGAAAGTTAGGGGGAATGGTAGATTCACAATTCTCCTATAGGGTGAGTGGATTTATAATGAAACCCGTAGAGTTGGACTTGCGATTTGCGAGGGTACCCTCAAAACTGTTATACTCCATCCAGTCAGCGAAAGAGCCAGAGATAGAGTTACAGAGAGAAAGAGATAGAGAGAGTCAAATTTAGAGTTACTGAGAGAAAGGGATAGAAAGTGTGAGAGAGAGAGAGAGAGAGAGTTTCTCGTTCAACGAGGAATCCAATCGCCACGTGATCTGTTTAATAGCCGTGCTAAACCTTCCTACCCCGTGCAATCCCACGGGTAGAATTGCAAATAACAAATGTTTGCCTATCACGACTAAAACTCCTTCCACTCTTACTGTTTGAACAAAGGCTATATGGACCTCCACCAATCAGCTATAGCTCTTTCGCAAACCTCGTGATAAATTCCAATTGATCAAAAATGGAAGAGTACACCTGCAGTCTGCTTTTGGAATAGTCTTAATTAACGCAACGCTTTATCATCATGTCCAGGGAACAGTAATTTCTAAAATTGTTTTTTAATCAAATGGAGGACATTCTAGAAAAGCTTTAATAAATTTTGTATTTAACAGTAATTCAGATCTTTGAAACGTCTACTACTTAAAAGTAGAAATAAAATTTTCTATCCTCCAGAATTGAATATTTATTTATTCACTCGTCTTTTTGCCTTAATACTAGCGTTTACAAGTGTCCCCGAGGAAATTTTCTTTCTATAAACTTATTCTAAATTTTTGCGCCTACAGAACGACTTGAAAATTAGGAGTACTCGCATTTGCCTGGATCACCCGTCAAAATGGGGTTTCTCGCCAGTGGAGAGGGCAACTGTAGAAAATCTCTCCTGAGTACAACTGGTTTATCGACAGTCGAGTTCTAATGGTGTGTACCGGACAATAATCGACAGTGCACATCATTATACCTCGACGTCAAACTTTCCGCTCAGATTATCTTACGTGCCGGAAAAATACCAAGTTAAATGGGCGCGAACCAAGGGTACTTACCCTTGGTCCTAAAACGTCCGCCAAGCGAGGCATCTATCCGACTGAGATAATCTGTCGGTTCTATCCTCCAGGATTGTGTAAGGCTCAATCCCTACTTCAACTCAGGTGTATTCAATGGAGCATTCAATTAGCCATGGGTCCTAAAGTATGCAATAGGTCCCATCGTGATACGTCAATATGGTTCTTTCATGTTTACGTAGCTGTAATAAAATTTTTATTCGATGGATGATATGACGTAATATTTATTTGCAAAAGGATGCTAGAAGGTGTCACCCTTGCCTAGAATTAGTCAGTTCAGGAATCGTCACCAAGTTAACTAGTTGTGTACTACCCCCAAGTGTCTTCTTCGACTCCAGACCAGTAAACGCCTTTAACTTAGCTATCCACAAGTCACTTCTGAATCAACTACGCGTCTTCTTCGTGTCAGTCCAGCAACTGGGGCCAAGTTAACTAGTTGTGTACTGTCATCAAGTCTCCAGTCCAGAAAATCTCTTCAAGTACCAAGTGCATTCTTCGAGTCTCGTCTTAGTCAAGTTCATTCAAGAAGATAATATCTACTGCGAGGCACATTTCTATTCTTCTAAGGACTGCATTACCTCGACATCAATGTCAAATCTAAAATTCGGTGACTCCTAGGCTGAGTGATCTTGAATCTAATTTACACCGACACCTGGACTCTGGACCTTTCACTTTGGCTGGCCCGAAAACAATTTGAGGGAGATCTACTGCATTTTCTGTTTCCGCTAGTAGGTAACGCTTGTTGGGTCTACGACTCTAAGTACAATTTTAAAAGGAAAGGAAACTAATACTTTTAAACTTTGTCCTCGTTTAAATTCTCGATTGATTTCACAAAGTTTTAATTTTGTTTCAGTGTCCCTGAAGATATCTAGATCTACTCTTTCTCTTCGATTACAATTGTAAAGGATTCAAATAAAAAACTTTAATTTCATTTTAACAGTTACTCTTTCTTAAAACCTGTCCCTTAATATCAGGGCCTTGCTCTCCGTGAATAAATCAGGTTCGAATCACCGATGCCGGACAATATAAATATATAATTTGTTATATGTTTAGTTTCTTTTTGAGACAACACTATAAATTAAATAGTAATCATCATTTTCTCTGAGATACTTTAATTCCCCTTGTTGTAACATTGGGGGATAATATTGATAATAATAATTGAAGTTTGTAAATGATTAATAACAATTTGAAGTAGTATGGAAAATGATACAAAAAGATAACTTAATCTAAATTTTCAGTTCATGGCAAAAACGCAGAACATTAAAAAAATGAAAGAAGCAATACAATAAATAAAAGGCAATGCACAATTAATAGTCAGCAAAGGGTATATAATGTTTTCAATTTGCCCTGGACCCCTATTTTGTTCCTAGTCGTGTGTAAGGGAAAAAAAGAAAGACACAGATCGTAATGTAGTTTAATATCAGTAGGAAATGATTTAAACTTTATAAGGTGCTTTCAAGTACTTCGGGATAAGCAGAAACATTCCAAGGTTCTATTCGAGTTCGATCCGCGAGTGCGGCACCGGATGTGCCTAACGACGTCTTCCCCATTCCTCCTCTTGAGTCCCACGTTATTTTTCTAAGAGACTAGCTTACATATCCAATCTTAAGTCCACCCCCAAGCATCGAACACGTGTTCCACCTTCACTAATCTCCTCTCTCTGACTCCTTTGGCCAGAAAGACGCGGTGAATATGGTCCCAGATGCTGTAATGCAGCCGTCGACAAAATTCAGTTTATTCTCCTCTAAATTCAAAATACAGAAAAAAAATTTATTTTTAGAGGAATATATTTATATTTTTTTGTGTTCAACGATTTTTGTTACCACTTATTCTAGATTATGATTATTTAAACTGATTTTATAAAGATAGCTTTGCAATTTTAGATAAGGAGAAAAGAGAACATTTTCTTGATCTTACATTGATGATGAGATTGTTTCGTATTTGGTTTATCCAGTTCATTTATTTCTTTTTTTTTTGTTTCTTTATCTAAAGTGTTGACCAACCGGGTGCATCATATTATTCGGGGTTAGGGAAATGCCCATCGGCGAGACTTTCTATCTGCGGTGTGATGTTACTATACCGCGTCGTATAGCCAGAGGCGCATAGAAGTCGCTTAAATGGCACCACTAAAACCAAATGGGTCGTTTGATTCGAAAACGAAATCTCCCTTATGAGTGGTCCATATATATATATACCAGTACTGGCCTCAAGCTACGTGTGGGATCGTATACTATTGTAAAAATATGCGACCCTCGATATCAAAAGTTATTATCGCTGTGTTAGTGTTGCACTTTCGATTCCATTTTCACTGATAAATTTTACACACGGTCTCATTATTTTCGCCTTCCAAGTGAAATTCAGATTAAAAATAAAAAAATTTCTAAAAATGTCTTCAAAATTTTTTTAAATAAAAAAAAACAATTTTGATTTTTTTAAGGTATTTCACCGGCAACTGCTCTTGAAAAAAAATTAATTTTTATTTAAAGTTCAAGAATTTTGAGTCTCAAAAATTTATAACCAGTTCTTTGATTGGGACCCTCAATTAGTATGGGAAATTCTAATTCGATAATAAAAATAGAATTAGAAACGGCTAAAATAGATGAAGTTTCATAATATTAGAGTGTGTGCAGGAGATAATAGAGTGTGTCTGTGTGTATGTAGGAGGGGTAATGTCTACGTCCAAGGAATAGTGTTCCAATGGGAGTAACACAGTGTTTATCGAACTATAATCCCAAACCCTGCCACCGATTGTCAATCCTCCCGCTTAGATCCCTAGGTTTACTCTCAATCCCCTTTTGGAGTTCAGCCATCATGGCAGCCATTTATTACTGTTATTACTATAACACAATTTCGTACAGAAATTCTACAATCAAGAAAATTATTTTCTATTATAAAATAATTTTTTAACTAATTTTAATTAATTTATTTATAAATTAAAAAGAATACGAAACAGTTTTTTAGAAATATTCAGAGTTTTTCTGAATTTTAAAACAGAAAAGAATTGATAATGATCAGATATATTTTTTGATTTCTTAAAAAGTTCCCCTTCTGTTTTTTTACACCAAAAAAATAGTGTCGCAAAACAATATTTTATAATCAATTAATTTTGTTTTCAGGATAAAAAGAAGGTGGATACTATATAAAAAGGAGGATCGTTAAGGAGGACTCAAGAACCAATCGACATGGGTCATTAGGATTTTTTTCGGACATAATATACAAAAAGAAAAAAGTGGTCAAGTTCAGCCTACTACATTTTTTGGCTTCAAGCTGAATTATAATCCAATTAATATTGTATATGTTATCACTGCGAAAATTTTGGAGTTTTTGAAATAAAATTTTTAAATAAGAATATTTAGGATATTTAAAATAAAATTTTTAAATAAAAATATTTAGAATATTTAAAATAAAAATATTTTCTATTATTTTTAAAATAATTATTTCCTTTAAAATTTCCTGTAAAAATAATTCTTAAAAAAAAGAAGTGCAATCTATGAACGATGTGAGAATTTTCATCCAAGAATTGCTGATTTGCATCTATATTTGTAAAGCAACAGACTGGCAAGGATGATTATTATTATACTTGATCCTTACCGCGATAACTCCCGTACAAACATTTACGATCAGGTTTAGGAGCGAATTAATGACTTCTTAAGTGAGCATTAAGAAAATAAAAATAAAACGATAAAATAAGGTAGAGTTTTTAATTAAACTTATGATCAATTATGTCATGTATATAACTTTTCAAGAAAACACCTTAAAATAAATAAATTCTCTCGTTATTTTAAGTATACCAAATATTTGAAACTAATAAATTTTTAACCAAAGAATTAATATGTTCTATTTTAAAAATAATTTTTTTTGTAATTTTCTCTCAATTTATGAATTCTACTTTTTCGTAAATAGAAGGGAAATAATTTTTTCATCAATATCAGGAAATGTTGGTATATATATATTTGGAAAAGATTGTAAATTATATCCGTTATCAGATGCTTTGTTCGAATCGATTTAAAATTATGGAACATATTTAACAAGATAGTGAATGGATTTGTAAATATATATCTATATATACAATAAAACAGAAAATGCATGTGAATACAATGGTCCATTAAGCGAGTAACTGTTAGTTAATATTGTGACTGTTACCATTTATTTTCGAATTAAATGAATGCCCGTCATGTTTATAATGATTATTTGTGGTAAATTTTGCACCCATGGATTTCACTCGATTCAAAGGGGTTGAATTTTCCCTGGGAAAAATAATCAACGCATGAAAATAATCCAACTTTATTAATTTTCATATTATTTTTGCACTTAAAATTTTTATTTAATTGAAATGAATATAAAATAATAGAAATAGAAATTTTTAATGCATATTCGTTTAAATTTAACAAAAATAAAATATACATTTTTGTTAAATTCATTTTTAAATAAATAAATTAACTTTCATTATACTCTCAATTCACTTTCACTTCACATTCACCTCACACTCACATCACTTTCACTCCACTCTTACTTTATTTACACTCTACTCTCACTTCACATTCAATTCACTTTCACTTCACTTTTATTTCACATTCAAATACCATTCATTTCACATTCAATTAATTTTCACTTCACATTCACTTCACTCTCTCGTCACTTTCACTTCACATTCATCTCACTTTCACTTAATTTTCACTTCACTATCACTCCATTATCAATTCGCTTTCAATTAACTTTCACTTCAGATTTAATTAACTTTCACTTTACTCTCACTTCACTTTCACTGCACTCTTACTTCACTTACACTCTACTGTCACTTTACTATCAATTCACATTCACCTCACTCTCACTTCATTTTCACTTTATTTCAATTCACATTTACTTTCATTTCACTTTCCATTAACTTTCACTTCACTCTGTCTTTACATTCACGTTACTGTCTCGTCACTTTCACTCTACTCACTTCACTCTTATTTCACATTCGCCTCACTCTCATTTCACTTTCACTTCACTTTCACTGTACCATCAATTCGCTTACAATTAACATTCACTTCACATTTAATTAACTTTCACTTTACTCTCAATTCACTTTCACTCCACATTTACATTACTTCACCTTCACTTTACATTCACTTTACATAAACCTCACTTTCACTTACACTCCACATTCACCTCACTGTCACTTCACTTCAATTGAACATCAATCTCAGCTTACTTTATCTCCACATCCATTTAATTTTTGAGGGTGAGGAAAATTTAAAGTGAAAGTGAGGTGAAAGTGAAGTGAGTGTGGAGTGTAGGTGAAATGTTGCGGAATTTAAATTGGAGTGAGGTGTGTAAGTGAAGTGAAGTGCAAGTAGAGTGAAGTGAGAGAGGTGAATGTGAAATAAAACTGAATTGAGAGTGAAGTGTAAGTTAATTAAATGTGCATTGAAAGTGAAGTGGGAGTGGATCGAAAGTGAAGAGAAATGTAATTGAGAGTGAGGTGAATTTGAAGTAAAGATGAATTGGATATGTAGTGAAAGTGAAGTGAGTGTGGAGTGAAGGTGAAGTGTTGCTGAATTGCAAGTGAAAGTGAAAGACAAAGTGAAAGTGAAAATGAAAGTGAATATGAAGTGAAAGTGAAGTGAAATTAAATTGAGAGTGAGGTGAATTTCTAGTAAAACTAAATTGAATGTGAAGTGAGAGTGAAGTGAAGTGAAAATGTAGTGAAAGTGATGTGAAAGTGAAGAGAAAATAAAGTGAAGTTCCAGAATTCTACTCCGTGCATAAAGCTACTTAAAAATTCTATTTTTTGAAATACTAAATAGATTTGCAAATAAAAAATGCTTAAAAATTTCAACTTTGCCAAGATTCGAACGCGGAACGAATAATTTGGCTTTTCTTAGCGCCTTAACGTTCACGGCTAATACAAATTTTACAAAAAGTAAACATTTTAATACAGATTTGTAATTTTAAATTCTAGTTTCTGTTGGAAAAAATCTAAAGTAAGAAGTGTTATTCTTTCCTATTTTTCTTTTTTTTTGGTTTTTAAATATATCGTTAGTTCTACTATGAAGGTATTTACATGTCTATTGTCAGGCACCACCCTTGCATACAAAGATATATCTAGAAATCGTCTGTGAGGGGAAATTCTCGTGATCTCTTCGTGTACGGCTCCCAGGGCGCTCTTTCGGACTGAGGTGGGTCTGGAGCGCGTAACACGCATTTTTATCAAACGTTACGACCCATGCAACGACCAGGATGAAAACCAATATCTTACAATCCCATGGGAGTTTGCTTCAGCACTGTTTTTCAACTTTCGATCCAAAGAAAAGGAAACTTATTATTTCTAATTGCATAATAAAAAGTTTGTATAAATAGTGCAAAATTGGATAAAATAGAAAAAAACATTAAAATTAATAAATAAAAATTACCACCTATTCACCTATAAATAATTAATTTAAAATTTTTTATTCAACGTTTTTAGTTTTAATTTTTAACTTTTTGTATTAAATTTTTTAAGTTAAGTTTCTTAATTAAGACGAGAGAAAAATTCTTCTTTTTTTCTATTTGGCGAATTTTTTGTTTATTTATTGTTATTTATAAAGTCTGCTGTTTGGTTCTGACTGATAAAAAGGACTTTAAAGGATTGTGACGATGAAGTTTAGAAGGAAATGGTTGCGCATCATGGCAAAGATAGGAAAGTGTTAATCCTACCGAGCAACTTTGGCTCTGAAGAGAACTTGCACGCTTATACTGAGAGGATTTCCATCCCAATAAATTTAAAGCTTTGCATAAGCTTTTCGCGTTAGAATTTAAATCCTAGACGAGTGTGCGGCTTTACAGAATACGCGACTGTACAGCCAAGTGTACGTGCCCACAGTGACATTAAATCCAAAAACAATACTAAAATTTCCTATTAAATTACTAAAATTTTTTTTTTATTTCCTTTTTTCAAGTTAAACAAAAGTATAAATTCTCTTCACTTACTAAAAACAACTTCAATTCAAAGGGACGAAAAAAATAAAATAAAACCTGTTAAAAGTACCATTAGATTTAAATTGTGAAAAATAAACGAATTTTTTTTACACACACAGAGAAAGAAATGGTCTTTCGCGAAAGCGAAGTAGGATCAAAAAATTCCGTTCCGCGCAATAGACGCAGTGTCATCAATTGCATTTACAACCCATGGAAAAAAAAGAGGATGAGGAAGAATATATATATATATATATACATACACAAATGCAGGAGAAGCTAGGTATTTTCCTCAGAGGATACCCGCGAGAGAATTTTCACCACCCCTTTACCATCGCTTTCGCAGTCTGCAAGCCAAACGGGTATATCCACCCATTTTATACCAGTTGTGGGTGGGTATGGGTTTGAAGCAACTCTCGCTGGGGAATAAACAAGATATGTGTACAGTGCACTCTGCACATACAATTATCGTTATAATCGTATTTTTCGAGAAGCTCCCAGAACAAACGTTGAAAACTTTTCTATTGTTGAATTTTGAGGATAATTTTTTAACTTTCTTTTCTTTCCAAGGAGAAATTGATCTCATCGCTAAAAACTCTCTTAATTATTAAATTGGTAATTATTCATTGTTCATTTCATTTTTTTAGGATTTTTAATTTTTTTCTGAATTAATGAGTTTTGAATTGTATTTTAAGAAAAAATTGATCAAAATTATTGACGTGTATTTTTTAATTTTGTATTAATTCTGATAAAATCACGGTCTAAGTGTTGTAGAGTGGGGGTAATGAGTCTAAGAGAGAATAAAAAGTCCTATTGTAATTTTAAAGCGTTTTAAGAAGTAGCAGCCAAAACCGAACACTAGCAGAAGATCATAATTGTCATAAAAAGACGTTCAATTTAATTCTTTTCAATTCTATTATTTTTTATAGACTGCTAACAATCTAGATTGTTGCTAAGATGTTGCTGAACAACATCCTGAAGGATAAAAAATTTTATTGTAACTTTTAAGCACTTTTAAAAAAAAGTAAACACAGCCGACCACTAACAGAAGATCATAAGTGTCATAAAAAGACGTTTAAATTTAATTCTTTTCAATTCTATTATTTTTTATGGACTGTTAATAGCCAAAATTATTGCTAAGATATTGCTGAACAACATCCTGGATGATAGAACATTTTATTGTAATATTTAAGCGCTTTTAAATAAAAGTAACCACAGCCGGAAACTAGCAGAAAATTAAAATTATCATAAAAATAATTTAAAATTAAATTCTTTTGTTTTTATTAACTTTAATGGACTATAAACAATATAGATTGTTGCTGGGGTGTTGCTGATCAACATCCTGAAGGATAAAAAATTTTATTGAAACTTTTAAACGCTTTTAAATATTTGAAACCACAGCCGAAAACTAGCAGAAGAAGTAATCTGTCATAAAAATAATATTATATTAAATTCTTTTCAATTTTAATAA